ATGTACTCTGCATATAAGTTAAATAAGCAGGGTGACAATATACAGCCTTGACGTACTCCTTTTCCTATTTGGAACCAGTCTGTTGTTCCATGTCCAGTTCTAACTGTTGCTTCCTGACCTGCATATAGGTTTCTCAAGAGGCAGGTCAAGTGGTCTGGTATTCCCATCTCTTTCAGAATTTTCCACATTAGGTAAATGCAAACTAAACCATAATGAGATACCACAGCACACTAAAATAAAAAACACTGATAACAACAAGCGTTAGTAAAGATGAGGAGAAACTGTAAACTTCATGAATTTTGGGTGGAAATAGAAAATGGTACAGCCACTTTGGAACACAGTTTGCAGTTTCTTAAAAAGCTAAATGTAAATTTGCCATGTAATCTATGAATTCCACTCCAAGCTGTTTACCCAAGAGCAATGACAGCATGTCCACACAAAATGGACTAATGATCATAGTAGCATTAGTCATAACAGAAAATGGAAACAATCCAAATGGCCATCAGTAGATGAATGGATAAATAAAATGTGGCACATCCATACAATGTAATACTATTTAGCAATAAAAAAGGAACAAATGATACATGCTACAACATGGATGAAGCTCAGAAATATTTGCTAAGTGAAAAAAGCAAGATACAAAAGAACTACACATTTGAGACTCCATTTACACGAAATGTCCAGAAAAGGCAAAAGTACAGAGGTGGATGCAGATTTGTGGTTCCCTGCATCTGAGATGGGTGTAGAAACTTGACTGGAAACAGGCACAAAAGATCTTTTAGGGGTAATAAAAATATTCTCAAGCTGAATTGTGGGAACGTTGCATAGCCCTGTAAATTTACTAAAACTCATTGAACAGATGAACTTTATGTTGTGTAAATTATACTTCAAGAAATCTGATGGTTTTAAAGTCTTAATTGCTTCCTCTGCAAAATACCTCAGACAAGGTGAAGGAGGCAGCCTGGGGGAGCCTGCTCCCTGGCCTTGCTCCTTTCTGTTCTCCAGGAAAGACACCTGAGCCCCTCTGCTCAGGGCTAAGAATTGTTTCCCCAGAAGCTCAGAGCAGCTGTGCCCAGCTCCGCTACCTCAGCACCTCTGATCTGCCCCAATTCAGGCCTCTGGCAGCAAAGCTCACCTTGCAGAAACACTGGAAGAGTTATAAATACTTTAGGTCCTCAGGGAGCCCTGTCAGTTCCCTACTATGGCACCAGTGACCTAGGGCAAGGAAAATTCTATTTCTAGGCACACTGTCTGGGAGCAGCCTCAAGGTAATAAACTGTCTCTTTCAGGGCCTGGTTTGGACCCTTAAGACACGTGTTCTTTTAAAAGCTAATTCCTACAAGCCAATTGCAGCCCACTCAAGAAAAACAGGATGAATGCATGAAATTTAAATTAATGCCCACTTAGCAAATGAGGGGCTGTGGAGGGCTCCCAGGCGGGGCTAGTGGTAAAGTATCCACCTGCCAGTGCAGGAGACTTAAGAGAGCTGGGTTCGATTTTTGGATCCAGAAGATCCCCCGGAGGAGAGTATGGCAACCCATGCCAGTATTCCTGCCTGGAGAATCCCATGGACAGAGGAGTTTGGCAGGCTACAGACCATAGGGTTGCAGAGTCGAACACGACTAAAGCAGGTTAGCACACACACACACGGGCTTGTGGCCCTGGTTTTAGAGCCATGTAACCTTCTCAACCTGGGCTGCATAATAAAACCATAAAATACCTGGTAAGCTTTTCAAATGTATTAGTGGAGAAGAAAGTTCCTAAATGTATTATAACTGCCAATTAAAATATATTTTGTTTTATCAAAGTAATATGAATTGGCAACAGAATAAACTCATAAAATCTCAAAAGAAAGAACCCCAACTGGTAAGCTTTTTAAAAATACTATACCTGTGTGCCTCTCAAAGAGATTTGTACTTAACTGGCCAAGAATATGACCTGAACATCAGTATTTTTAAAGCTCTCCACTGATTCTGCTGTGCATCCAGGACTGAGAGTCACGAGCTTCAGAAGGAGATGGGCGGCAAAACAAGGTCTTCCACTGGTTACTCATTCAAACCTTAAAATGCATTTCTCTCTGAATAAGCACCTCTTCACATGTACTAAGAGCAGCAACTGGACGGAGCCAGCTGAGTAATGGACCCCAGGATGCTGTCACTTGTGGTATAGATGCTGCCACTTCACCTCTGTTTATCCCAAATGAGTTCATGTTGAGTGTATTGATCTATACATCCTTAACCATGACACTTGAAAAAAGGGTAATGCTACTAATGTAACTGGTGGAGAGAGGCTAAAAGAAAAAGACAGTCTTTATTATCAGTATTCAAGGACTTTTCTTGACACCAGGGACCAAGAATAAAGCCAATTAGGACCTAGTGCAATACTAACACAATATTAAATATTAAAGGCAATCAAGCATTCACCTCAGACATGAATGATCATGAGAATTTAGGACAGAGTTCCCTGCTGGTTTGAGTAGACAAAAAAAAAAAGCTTTGTGGATGAAGAAGAGCTCCAGCTGGTCTTGGGAGATGGACAGAATTTGAATTGGGGAAGTGAAAAAAAAGTAAAAATAATTACCAATAACAATAATTGCAACATCATTTATCATAAATCAGCACTCTCATTCATGCATCATTTTATATAAACCTCACAACTACCTAATGGTTCTTATTTTACAGGTGAGGAAATGGGGGATTAGAGGTTAAAACATTTTCCCAAACTCAGTCAGAAAGC